CTGTAGTTGCTATCAAACGATTAAATCTGAGGAAAACTCTTTGAATTTCAATAATTAATTCCGTTTAAAGTGAAACAAAAACAAAATTTCAGAAAATCTATGAATAAATGGTTTCATTGAACTTAACATCCATTGAATATAGAGTACATCCATTTCAACCGATATACCATTAAAATGATTATATTATTTGCTAAAGTATACCGGTATATAATTGATCATAATCTGTAAGGTACAATAATCTATCATAGACTGAATTGCACCGTTAGTTATTTAATATAAAACTTATTATCATATCATTGCTGATCTGAATCCGTAATAATTGTAAACTAATTGTGATTTTAGGGGCAAAAACGTATTGAACTCGAAGAATGAGTTGGAGAAAGAGTTGGCCAAACGAAAGGACAACCAGAAGAAGCGGGAACTGGAGGCCGAAAAGCTGTCCCGTCGGTCGAGTCTGGAGCGCCGGCTGGAGGAACAACAGCTCAAAATACGACAACACGAGGGGAACGGCGATAGCCAGCCGTCGCCGTCGGCGAGCTCTTCGTCGCCCGACAAACAGCCGCTGGAGTCGGAGTTCCTAAAGATATATTCAAAAGTAAAATGTGCCACAAATACAGATAATAATAACGATAACAACAACTGTGTCCTCAAGACGAGCGCCACTCCATCCACACCACCGATGACTGCCTCCAAGACATGAGAATTTCGTTTTTCAAATCTCTTTCTCTCGGATTTTGTTGTTGTTTTACACTTTTGTTTTAGTTTTCACTGAATTTTAAAACCAGTTTTTCATGTGAAGAGACATTTGGTTAGGATTGATATCTCTATTTCTGAAACATATCTATCAATAAGAGCTTAAAAGGATATGTCGTTTGAATGATATATTTAGATGTCATTTGAGTCTTATATTTGAAATAAATTTAAATTTATAAATAATATTTGAAATAAATGTGCAGAAAATCAAAGTTTGCTATGAAATGTAGTACAGTATAAATGACACATAATTTTAGATACATTTTCATTAAAATCTATTGATAATAAAAACATTGATATAGAAAACAAATTAAAACAAATTATTTACAATAAAATTAATATATTTTGTATATAAATAAAGTAGAAACAAAAATTTTTCAAAAATCATGTCTAAGAATAAGGAAAAAACTAAGAAAATAATTTTAATTATGTGTTAGACTTAATATCCCGGTTCTCATTACACGACACAAAAAGTTTAACAATCGATTGATACATACAATATAGCAAATTATATACCATTTGTATGATTGTTATTAGAAAACAATAATTTCTACATTTTTGGTGCCATTTCTTTGTTTTGAAAATACCCTTTGATTTAAAACAAGAGAAATCATTATATAATCATTAGAGACGCACACCAGTAATGATCACCGCTTTTATTACTAACGTTAGCATTGCATTTGAATTTTGATTTTATTTGTGTAAACATTTCTCTCTTTTTACGATAATTGTATGAAAATAACCGATTGTTTAATGTATATAACGGCGGATCAAAACTATTGTATATTTTAATGTTCTCTCTCTCTCTCTCTCTCTCTCTCTCTCTCTCTCTCTTTGTGGACCAATAAATAGTTGCCTAAAAACATAGCGAAAAAATAATTGTAAAATAATATTTGGCCAAAAACTGTATGTTTAGATTGAAACCAAGATAAGATAACCAACACACTTATGTCAGAAAATAAATAATAACTTACTATAATTTACTTCAAATAAAGTCATGTTTACGGAAAAGCAAATGACATTTTTTCTAATTAAAAAAATTGTGAAAAATATTCACGAATAGCATAATTAAACATATATTATAATAAATAATAATAAATTATTTAAAGTCTATATTATATAGACTCTATAATAACAACAGTCCGTAATGTGTAATAAATGATTACTAATAACTTTAAAACTCGAGTTTCTATGCATTTTTAAAAAAAACATTTCTTTCATGAATATAACAACTAATTGGAGTAAAATAAATGACATTTATTTATCCCATAGACTATATTGTAATTAACAACTAAATACATTAAGCTTATTAGCACATATTAAGTAAATTACATGACAATTAATTAATATATACCTGTATTTAACTATCATTGCTTTAATTAATGTTTCACAACACTTATACTTTCTAAAACAGACAATTTAATAAACATCTGAGTAAATAAATTTTAAATATTAATTTATGTGACAAAAAAATCTTATTAATTTGCATTTAATTTTCGAAATTTACAAATAAAGTCATTAATATAAATGGAGAAATATAGTAAGAAATTCAAGTAAAAGTATACATTAATAAGATAAATAGATAATTAACAACAAATTTTGTGAACTCTATATTTAAAATATAAATATTTACACCTATTTTAGCATAAAATTCATGATCTGTTATACAATATACTTATAATGTATTCCTTACATGTATACAACAGTTTATTTTATACAGAAATTAACAGAAATACAAATTTTCTCACTAACTGTACAATATATCCAGATATTCCTTATAAATTGATAATAAAATGAAGGAATTTATAAAAACAATTTTATCAACATTTAAAAATCTTTTAATGTAATTGTGATAATGATTTGTATATTGAATAAAATAAATGAAAAGAAATAATAACTAAATACCAGGTGTATGATTAATTAAAAATACATTGAATTCCTTGATTGTTTATTAATAAGCCTTATGTTTATCACACAAAACAGTGATTTGATAATTGTATTTCATAGCGAAATAAAAATTTATATATAATTCAATTCTTGGTTATATTTAATTTGTTAAATTATAATTTAAATATCAAATATTATTTATGAATATAATATTTATTAATGTATATTCATTTAAAATATTCCTTGACACGAATTTAGAAGATATTATTATGATAAATGCAAATGAAAACTTTATATTAATATTATTTAAATGATTTCATACTCATGATTTAACATTTATATAAGTTAGATAACAATAGTGAATGAGTTTTATGTAATTAGTTGTAATTAATATAAAGACAGTCATTGAATACTAATCAATGAATATTCTAAACGATTGAAACATTTAGAGAAATAAAAGTTTTGGTCTTACAGTTCACATAATTATAGCCCGGATTAGACGTTAATTATCTAATAATAGGCAACAAAAAATGCCAACAAATACGACCTTCACTTCAATCCAAATCAGGTTTCCGTATATAATAGACTCACAAAACTCGTTATGCAATGTTTGTGAGCCACGAGTTTGTGACCCGTCTT